CAGACTGCTGTGCTAGCAATGAGGGAGGCTCCGTGGGTGTGGGACCCTCCCGGCCAGGTGTGGGATATAGTCTCCTGGTGTGCCCGTTTGCTAAGATCCTTGGTAGAGCGCAGTATTGGGGTGGGAGTTACCCGATTTTCCAGGTGTTGTGTGTCTCAGTTCCCCTGGCTAGGAAAAGGGATTCCCTTCCCCCTTGTGCCTCCCAGGTTTGGCGATGCCTCGCCCTGCTTCAGCTCTGGCTGGTCGGGCTGCAGCAGCTGACCAGCACCGATTGTCAGGCACTCCCTAGTGAGGTGAACCCAGTAACTCAGTTGAAAATGCAGAAATCACGTCTTCTGTATCGCTGGCGCCGGGAGTTGGAGACTGGAGCTGTTCCTATTCGGCCATCTTGCTCCACCCCGCAAAAGTTTTTAAAGCAGGGGACTTTGTTCTTATCCAACCAAAGCCATTTCCTACTTTTGTAGTATTCCTGTCAAAATGCATAAGAGTTGGGGGGATGGAGTGGGACATGAAGGGTGGAGGTGCAATTCCGTTTCCACCCCTCGCTGTCTCACAGGTTGGAACTGCCCAGAGAGGCAGCAGCAGGCCAAGCAATGTAACATGGCATCTTGTAGATTTCTTATCTACTCTCATAGTATTTTAGTTGTAGATGCACAGGTTTCCTGAAAAACTTTTATCTCTGTTGGGTTATAAGTATTCCCCAAATTCATGTTTCAGTTTATTTTGGAGTGCTGTGTAAGCTGTGACAATCTCAAGAATCCTGGTTTGTGTACTTGCCATTATCACTTCACAGAAACCTTTCTATATTTTACAGGAAAGCCATGCATTTGAATGAACTATTGAAAGCTTAGTAATTAAAAGAAGTAATTATTTCTAGGCAATCTCTTATCCAGCTCTCCAGTCATTTAATTTATTGGAAACCTATTATGTATATCACTATGACAGGAACTTAAGATAGAAAGACAGACACTCATTATCCACTTCAGTGTTTTCTTGGGGCAGCAGTCCAAGAACTAATAATTAACTTCTCTTACATAAATAAAAGTTTCCTTGGAGAAAGAAGCTTGAGAGGCTGTGGATTAAACAAGCATCAACAAATTTATTTGTGTAGGACTTTCAGAGCTTATGTAGAAAGTTTGAGTATAAACAATGTACTCCAAAATTATTTCACGAAGGAGTCCAGCCTCCCCTGATGCTTTCTTCCTATCGTATATCTTAGGGTGCACTGTGGAATAACAATCACTTGAGGAATCCTCCCAAGCAAGGAAACTGTCTTATTCAGTTTTTGCATCCCCAACAATGCCTCATGTGAAGCGGGTACTCACTGTTTGCTAAATGAATAAACGCAGAAATTTACTACAGTATATGGTAGATAGCAATTAGTGCCCTGACTGAGACACAGGTAACATTTCTGAAAATTCAGAGAAGGGAGGGATTATTTTCAGCTGAAAGAAATCAGATGAGGTTTAATGGACTAGGTGAAGCTGAAGGATGGGGACATTTGGAGACTGGGCTGCTGAGCAGAGGATCTGGGTAGGGGATTGTTGAGGGGATCTGGAAGTCTCTCCTTGTTGAAGGTGATAGTACTGCTCATTTTAACACTTTGAACATAGCTGTGTTCCAGTACAGATTCTGGCCACTTAAGCTTTCATGTTTTAAAATCCTTACACCTTAGGAAAAAACTATTAGGAAAATCAAAATGGCAAAATATATTTAAATATATATTTATATAGTTTGAAAGGACAATTTGATACAAACACTCACTGCTGTTAGGGTTGTCTCCTATGATATGGTGCCGCCCACTCCAGTACCAGAGCAGCAGGGTGGCATCTCGAGATCCGGACACGATGTAGCAGTCTCCACCAATGTATGACTCAGACCTGGCCAAGCACGTGACCACATCCCAATGGCCAAATACAATCTGAGTCAATTTCCCTGCAACACAGAAATGACAGGTTTGCTTCATTTAATCTTTTTCTTCAAATGGTAATAAGTGTAACTTTATCAGATTTTAAAAATTTTACCATATTTATTTTATTTTATTTTACCAGTTTTGTGAAAAGTTCATCTATAGGCTGATAAAGTTACAATGTTATTCAAATCTAGCTACAGGTTGCTTTCTTGCATTGCTTTTGAAAATTGATACAAGAATGTCACTTGAGATTTTTAAGGAAAAGACTTTATTAAATAACATGATCATGATTTTTCTCTTCAGGGTTTGGGCCAGACCAAGGGGAGTTTCAGGAACTTTTACTGCATATGAATTTGTGGGAAGGGAAAAATAGCCCTATTTGTCCTATGAACTCAGGGATCATGCTAATGTTTGGAATAGATGAAGTTATAGTTACTTCACTTACAGTGTGAACATTTAATTTGAATCTTGACTATTCAAGCTGGCAAATGATAAAAATGCCTACATCAAGTATGATTTCATATTCAGCTTTGGTTTTAACAATAGTCATTTTGAAGAGAATACGGTGTTTCATAGTTAGGATTACCTGTTTCTGTAGAATAAACTCTGAAGCTCTTATCCCAGAATCCACAGATAAGAATATAGCGATTATCTGCTGTGACCACAAAACAATGTGCATTGATTTGTATACTCTGGTCAACGAGGTCTGTGATCTGCCGTTTGTTTACACCAGAATTATTGGCTAAAAATAAATGGAAAAAAAAATTTGAAGATTCCATATGAGTTTCTCCAAGCACTCATAGAAGGAAAACAATACTTTCATGCTTCATTTATCCAGAAATAGTTTTTTTTAATGGTATGAGATTATTAAGATTCTCCCTTGAGGAATAAAGATTTCCTTAGTAGCAGTGATTATTTATGAACCATATTATGTATTTTAAAATTCTGCCAGAAATTTCAGTTCTCCCTCCACCAATAAATAAAAACAATGAGGAATTCAAGAAAATTAATTTACAACATAATACAATATTTTAATGCATTTAATTCTTTAGGTGCTCACTACACACAAGTTCATTAGTTTATAAGAATCACATGAGAACTAAATATTGTATAAAGTATGTTATTAAGGAAGAGATATATTAATATTTGCCCCAGTCCGTCATTTTTGGATGGTATTTTTATAATTCCCCTGAAAAAGGAGGGTAGAGATTTGAGCAAGTGATGTTGTTATGTGGGTAGCCCCACAGGGAGCTTCAGGTCAACAGCTTTACAGGCCTGGATTGTCAACAGACAGAAGGCCTTTCCAGAATGGGCTAGCAGGGGAGGAGAGGAACAAAAAAGATGCGAGAGGGACTGGTGAGGAAAGAGACAGGCAAAGAATCAGTGCAGAGCCCTGGGATTGAATCTGAATAAAGTCAGGAACTCAGAGACACCATCTGATTTCCCCAGTGCCTGTCTGCATGCCAGCCTGTCCCTTACTGCACGCCATCCTTTCAGGATAAATCCCTGGGCTGAATTCTTAAAAAGAAATGCAGATGTAGAAGGTCACCACCACTCTCTAACACCAGTTAAATATAAGTACTACTATTTGTAGACATCTACTAACACTATAAAAATAACTACTAGGAAACATAAGCAATAAAAAAATTATACAAAAAAGTCAGTAAGGAAAAAAAGACCAAAGATCCCAGGCCACTTGAAAACTATACAATTGGTCCTTTACTAATTAGAATAGACCTATTAATTTTTCCAGGGTTACATACTAGCTGTATATTTCATTGTCAATGTCTGCTGGAAAGAGAAATAGCTACACTAGACTAATAATATTCTTAATCCTAAACCTTATAAGCTCCCAAAGAAATGTAAATGGTATTTTGTGTATGGGTATAAGTAGCTAATTGAAATGCCTGTATCTTATCTTATTTCCAGGTTCAA